GAATATTATTTGTTACGGTAGAATTTGTGGCTGAGCTGCTGTTTTAGATTTTACAGGTGCCTAATAATGTGGCCACTGAGTGTTTAGTATTGTTTTCGACCAAATGAAAAATGAAAATGTTTATATCAACATATAGAGATCACTGAGATCAAGTGATTCTAAATTATTAGTAAATGGTCTGCACTTGTAAAGCCCCCTTCTGACGCACTCAAAGTGCTTTTCCTTTACATCCTGTTCACCCCATTCACACACAATTAATTAATTTAAATCTGAAAATATTTGTTCAAAGACGCGGGGATACTTTGTCTCTCGAAATGACTAAATGAAAATCAGACACAAAGTTTTGCACGTATTGAAAGATGTATTTCTCCAAATCACTTTTGAATTTTTGAAAGCTATTTTAAATTATTTCAGTTATGTCCTAATTCATGTGTCTACTGTGTTAATTGGTTTAAAAACAATTGCAGGTGGATCCCTGAATCTGCCCGATGGCTTTTAGCCAATGGTAAAGTGGAAAGGGCTCAGTTTTACCTTGAAAAATGTGCTAAGTTCAACAAAGGACAAAAACTGTCATCCAAATTAAAAGCAGAGGTAAGTGTGAGCTTGACATTAAATGGTTTGGTTTAACACTTATATGTGTATATTTTTAAAACCATTCATCCCAGTGCTGTTGCTGTCTGCCACAGTGTCTTTTTTTAAACTGGAGGACGACAAAATGTTCAAATCCTAAATATTTTTATGTCAGATCTACTGATCTGCTTAAAGGATAGGTTCACATTTTACTCACATACGTACGCTGAAAGAGAGATTTGTGGCTGTGGTGATTTCTCATGTCCATCCTGGCCGAGATGCTAAAGTGACTGCAATGTATGAGGAACAATATTCACATTCCTCGTTAGGAGCAAAACACATGCAAGCTTTTAGTAGACGCTGATTTGAGGCTTCATTGCTCTGTGTACAAGCCTCATGTTAACTTTGGCTTTAGGATGGTGGATTGTGTACCTCATGATGAGTTATATTAATAACTCAGTGTTCATATAGGAATGTTAGAACAGACCTGAGAACATTTTCTTTCACATCACTTCTCTGCCTCTGTACAGACACTCTCCAACATAGAAATCATGGAAAAGCAGGACAAAAACTACACTTACCTTCACCTAATCAAGACCCCAAAGATGAGACGCTTAACAGTACTGACTGGGATTCTGTGGTGGGTATCAACTCCTTCTATATACATATATATATATATATATATATATATATATATATATATATATATATATAGATGCATGGAAGGAAACCTGACAAATAAATGATTTGTTATTCATTGTACTCTGCTACAGGTATGGAGTTGCCTCGACATATTATGGTATCAGCTTAAACATCAGCGGGTTTGGTTTAAACCTGTACCTCACACACTTCATCTATGCAGCCATTGAAGTCCCGGCCAAGCTGATGATTTATTGCTTTCTCAACATCATTGGACGGCGAAAATGTCAAGCTGGAACACTGTTACTGACAGGAATCTGCATCGCCGTGAACATCTTTCTTCCAAAAGGTTGTAATGCACATCGGGGTTTCTTTTACATTTTGAATTGATGTCACACACAGTATTCAAAGTCATTAAAGCCTCTGATTTGTATTGTGTACTTTTTTAAATGTGATTTTTCTCTTTTGACATGCATACATTTTATCATAATATTAAGTTGCTGTAAGCGCATGTATGTTCAGCCAAACTACCCCAACGGTTAGGTTATAAAATTAATTAACATTTTTCTTTTTACATACTTATCTTATGTACATTAGGTCTGTGGCATGTCCGTGCTGTTGTTGCCATTCTTGGAAAAGGCCTATCAGAAGCTGCCTTCACGACTGTCTTCCTCTACACAACGGAGCTTTACCCCACAGTCATCAGGTCAGTTATTGACAAGACATTATTATGCTCATTCATATCTGTTATGACAGAATTACTTGTTGCCAGTTGCTTGTGTTATATGACCTAGTGGACTTTCAGATTATGTTAGTGGGTAAAATATTATAGTAACATCAAATCAATAGAAAAAATGGCCCAAAACACAACAACACAAGTAGTATAATAGTATAATTTTTACTTTAACATGTCTGTAGTAATTTAAGGCTAAGAAGTTAAGAACCAGATGGTAAGAAAAACTAATCTTTCCTTTTAAATTTGAATTTCAGTGGTAGAAAACGATCTTTTGTTGTACTGCGCACATCACTTCATCAGATCAGTTCACCAGTTATTGCCATTTGTTATTTTTTGATGTATTTAATCCTTGACCACCCTTTAAAACATTTGTCCAACTACACCTAAACTGATCATTTTATTGTTATTACTACCGAACAGGTAAGATCATCTTATTTGTTTTGGGTTTTTTTCATGCTTCATTTTAATTCTCGCTGTCCTTGGGGGATGTTTTACCAGAGAAACAGAGGAGCTCAAGTTCTCAAAAAAAAAATTTGTGAGCCAATTATTTCAGTTTTGAAGTGATTGGGATGCAGTTTGGTGAGTTTTTTTTTTTTTTTTTTACCTGTGGTAATAGCCCAATTGACCAACTTTGGTACATCTTTTTACAAAAACAAAATTCAGATATGAATACTTGATGCTGATTATCAGTTAATCAATTAATAGTCCTGACCCTTTCCTATCTACAGTCACAAAGAGGGCTACATAATGGTTGTGGAGGGCTTATTTATTATTTATTAAATACATTTTTGTGATTTATCTTCTGCCTCACCAGGCAAAATGGCTTGGGCTACACCAGCTTCATGAGTCGTCTGGGAGTATCAGTGGCTCCGCTCATCCTGATGCTGGAGGACGTGTGGACTGTTCTTCCTCAGATCATCATCTGCTCTGTGGCCATCATTTCTGGCCTGGTGTCTCTGCTGCTTCCAGAGACACTGAATCTGAGGCTGCCAGAGACAATTGACGACATTGAAAAGCCAAGGTCAGTTAATTACTACATGAATTAATAAAAGCCACAGTGTGTAACACTTGAAAATGTATTTGGCGTTACTTTGGCGCCATCTAGTGGTAGTATTGAGAAAAACACAGACGCAGCGATGGATGTTCACTAATCTTTTGCTTCTGATTTCCAAACTGAAACACATCTTACTTTTTACCTTTTTCTCATCCTGACCTTTTCTTGAAGTAATTGTGACATTCAGCTTGCATTTTCATTGTATTAGGTTTTTAAACGATTTAATTTTACAACATAAAATGAAATATCTCTACTTGAGTTTTTTTATGTTGAGAGTTTTAGGAAAATTGATACCCAATTCAAAATAAAACATGTATATAAGAAGCATCACTAAATAGCTGATGGACACAATAACATGAACACCTGTTCATTAAAGCAAAGTCCAAAAAACAAAGAAGAACTCCTACCTTTGTGAAACATTTAATGTTAAATGTCTGTTTAATATGAGCCAGAGATGTGTTGATAATTTTTAAAGACTGTAGTTTTAAGTCTTGTGCTAAAGTTTTTATTTTATTGTAAGAAACGAGTGTTCAAATCGCCACTGTATTGTTATGTTTAATTTCAGAAGAAATGACATCTCCTGTCACTCTGTGGAGGCTTCAGGTGTTTTCCTGGAATCAAAGAACACAGCAGACACTTAGCAGTGAAGAGACAAGAAAAACAAGGAGTTTGTTTATGTGCTCATCATACAGAACAATTAATGTACTGCCTTTTGTAAATGTAAACAGTGGAAGTGAGCACACATTTTACTCGTGTAGAACGTCTTATCCTCTTCTGTTGCATCTAAAAAAAACTCAGATCAAAATCTTTGAGTGTTTGTGTGGTTTGTAAACATCAAGATACAATCAAACATTGAAGAAAATGTACAATCTCAGTAAAAATACACACTGGTTTATCCACAATTGGGTTTTATTTAATCTAAAATATCTCTGTGGTTTATCAGACACCACCCAATTTCAAAATCATATGATTATATATTGGCAGTAACCAGTTGTATTACACTATTCCGTTTTAGTCACTTTAAAACTGCTGCCAGTCGGTCTGGAAAACATCAACGTCAGCCAATATTTAAGACCCTCTGAATTTTCGCAGTTGTCGTTGCAGAAACTGATGCAAATTCAACCAATCTCTGCTATACTTAAGTTACAGTTAAAAAGAAGTAACATTTCTACAGGATGACAATAAACATCAATACAAAAAGATTCAACATTAAAGTGTATGGATGCATGAAAATCTGAGTGCAAAAAAAAAATATCTGAGTATGTTCAAAAAAGGTCATTTGCAGAGTAAAAAAAGGAAAATGAGGTATGTGTGTGAGTTCTGCACAGTAGTTTTTCATTGGAAAAAAATTCAAGTCAATTTTTGGTGCAGTGCCTTTAAAGCCATGAATGCGCACATACAAGATAATCAACTTTGAGGGGCCTGATTATGAGCAAACTTGAAGACTTTAAGTCAAATCTCAATCTTACAATGGTCCTCCCTAGAATCTCTCTTTTCATGCAGTACTTACACCAACGTATCACTCCTAACAAAGTCCTCCAGTTTAGTAAAACTGAACCATGTCTACTTTTAGAACTAATCATTTGGTTTTTATGGAGTTTGCTGGCAGCATTACACCCCACTGTAGGAAGCACTATGGTGACCTGATTCACTGCAAAAACAAACCAATAGGAAAGCACATTTACCTTCTTGGCTAGCAAACTGCACATGCAAGTAGTTATAATGACAGGAATACACACCTACAGGTTGTTCATGAGATCTTAAGAAACTGCAAAAAGGTTAAACTTTTTTTTAACCTTTATTTGTTGAAAAAGTAGAAGCAAATTCAGGTATTTCGGTTCGCAAGGACTACAAACAAGATTGCAAGATTGTGGAAGGACTGTTATGTTGTTATCAGAAATGATATAACTATAGCATTAGTTCAGGCTGAGCCCTATTTCATTTGTGATTCACAATCACTGGCTTGTTCAGCAGCTGTTTGGCTACCAGCCGACCAAAATATCCAATCATATCCATGATGAAGTTGAAATCTGACACTTCATAGACAGTGCTAATGTTCTCACACCAGTGCCATTTGCTGCCAAAGCTCTCCCCATCACCCCAACCAACCACCCCCTTATGTGCTAAGGTTTTGGTATTGTGATTATTTGATGTTCACGTGTTCTCCCAGCAGAATCCTGGTTGCTGCTCGGCTTCTCGAGATCTCTATTAAAGAGCAGAGCCTTTCTTTTGCCAAATCCAACTTTTTTTTGGTTTTGGCATCTGCTCCAAATATCCAAGAGGATATTGAGTGTCCCAAACTAGACTGCTGGATGTGTTTAGAAATGTTTTTGAAAAGTATATCCTCCTCAAAGTCTTGTCGCCACAGTCTCAGCCACAGTATCCACAGTCGGTCTCATGTTCTCTTTCTGACTTGTGTTTCGACAGCAGGGTAGCGCCTGCAGCACCTCTTTGAGCCCTTTAGTCATGAATATGTAGAGGAAGGGGTCCACCAGAGGGCTGAGGTAGAGCAGCAGGTGAGACACCAGCCTCAGGTAAGTCACAGTCTCCGTAAAAGACAGAGCCTCCAGGAGGATGCTGAGGATATAGGGGACGTAGAGGAAGGTGTAATTAGCCCAGATAGCACTGATCCCCCACACCGCCCTCTTCCTCTCGGGGGTCGATGGGTTGGATCGGGAGCAAATCAGGGCCCTGCAGGAGTCGACAGCAAAGAAGAGTAGGAAGGGGAAAGGAGCGAGCAGAGACACAGCAAACCAGAGGTTATACTGCAGCATGGCGAGGGCCAGGATGGCTAACGGAGCAGCCCACGTCACCAAGGCAACTGCAGGAGACCGCTTGATGCTGCTACAGCAGCCAAGACACTGAGGGTAGGCCACCGAGAGATGACGCTCCTGAGCTATGAACAGCATGAGGGAGACGTTGGAGATGACACCAAAATAGAAGATGAAGTCAGTGGTGCTGGAGGAGAAGACCGTCCCACTCGCCACGTTCGGGTCCACTTTGGGACGACCAAAGAAACTGATAACATCAGACACCAGGAGGAAAACGACATGCATGGGAACTTTGCTGTCACCTGGACAGAGCAGAAGAACAGAAATAATCAGTATGGATAATTCTCATTTCCTACACACAAATGTCTTCATGCACCTGAAACTTTCTGTCATTTATGTCAAGTGGAATCTGAAACTAATCTTCAATGTTTCTCTTTATCTTATATACTTTAAAAAAAATGTACTGTTGCTCATACTGTGCTGATTATTACTCCTATGAATTCAACTACTACTGTATGCATTACCACTGAAACTAATATCTTTATTACTATGTCTACTGATACTAGAACTACTACTACAGTTCATACTGATACTAATACATGATACCATTGCTGGTGCTATTGATAATGCCTCCGATACCCATCCAGCCCCTTTCTAAATCTGTGATGTCTGTGTTCTTTATGACTGTCAGCGCTGAAGGTGTATTAATGTGCAAATAAAGCTTTACTTGAACACTTGCTAAAATGACAATGTATTTTTTAGTAATTCATGTTTTAAAATCCAGCCAAACAATGAAAGAAAAACTGTGAAAAAAAACAAGTATCAAGCCAAGATCAATTAGAAATGCAGTTTTGTTGTTTGGAGGGTGCTGCTGAGCACTTGCACAGATCAAGCCAAGCCCCCCTGACACCCCCTCAAACTACTTTGGTTGACCTTAGGATGTGTGTCAGAGAACGTGGCATAATTTGTAAATTGGTGTTTACATGATGTTGTTGGACAGACAGCAGAGTGAGTACAAACCTTTGGACAGATTCTTGAGCGTGTAAAGAGCCAGTGCAATGGCAGGCAGCCCAATGCTAAACGTCAACCAGTTGATCACTGTGGCTAAATGCACGGCGGCGGCCGTGGTGTTGCCAGTTAGGTTGGCAGTGATGCTGATGAGGACGGGGACAGTTGGTGTGTTGCTGTCAGCCATTAGAGGCCACACAGGGGCTATTTGTGTGTTCAACTTTTCAGATTAGCATTGAGATTCTCAGAGTGTGTCACTCTTCTGTTGTTGTAGATTGTAATGAAGACCATCCCAGTCTAGTTTCAATCAAAAACAATAAGGTCAAAATCAGTCCTTTGCAAGAACAAAATAAGCACTAAACACTTAAAAAAAAAAACTTAGAGGCTAAAACAGGTGCACAGGTTTTAATAACCATATCTGTTGAAGCCAGTTACTCCATTTTTGTTTCTCTTAATTTACAAAAAAAAAAAAAAAAAAAAGCATTTAGTTAATAATACATTTTACTTGTAATGCACTTTACATTTACAAATCTCAAAGTGCTACAGGTAAGATCATAAAAGCAAGGTAAAAACATGAATGTATAATATAGATAAATTGTGCAACGACATTATAGTGCAAGTTTAATTAAAACTAAGTCATCTTGAACCAATTTCCTACCTGCGATGAAGGCTTTTGTCCATGAAAAACCAGCTGTCAGTCGAACTTGTTTCTAAAGACTTAACTGCTGAAAAGGAAAACAGTTTCAGGGTAAGAGTTGACTTCTGTTCAAATATAATTTCCTGCTTTCAGAGTGAGAGACAATTTGTCTGTCTGTGTAATAACGGTGTTTAAGTCCAGGTTTGTGTGCGTTTGCGTCTGGTCTTCTTGGAAACCATTTATTGCTGAGCCTCCTTATCTCCACAGAGCTCAGTTGGCTGCTTTGAATGAAGCCTGGATGTGCTGAATATTCTCCATTGGTTTACATGGATCATTCTGTGTGCTCATGATGATGCAGGGAGTGGATATTTGCATGAAAAACTGATGAAATCAATATACTGCAACAGCCTGCATCTTAACATTATTTCTGTATGTTTGTGTGGCTTTACATAGAAAAGGGTGGGCCATCAATTTTACATATGAAAATCAATTTACTTTTCACCAGGAGCCCCACTTGGCCTGTGAATAATGTCTTCATTGGCTCTGGAGAAGCTTTGTTGAGTCATGAAGTAACCCATATGATGTCATAGGGATGTCATCAGGCTTATCTTGCTTGAGCTCTTTTTGACAGTGTCATTGTTTATTGTCAACCTTTTCAGCTGTGTTTTCCAGCACTGTATACTATAGGTACCATGTATTAATAAAAATATTAAAGTATAGAGTTTAATTTATTTGTCTATTCTCTAAAATTACCAAATGTTAATCCCCTGTTCCGCATAGTCTGATTTTCTTCTGCTGTACCTACTTTTAAGTACCAGTGAGTATTTTATGTATTGATTTATATGACACTACGACAGACACTAGACTGTACATAGCAGGAAGATACGCAATATAATCTGTACCGAAAAATGCGTTTGTTTACGAGAGAACTCCAGAGCACTGTGAAGTTTCATCTAAACCAGACCAGTAGTGTCTGACAGGCTGCATCTTATGAAACGGAAACACACAAAAATAAAATCTGTGCCACCGGGATGCTGCTTTGTAAGCTGGAGTACTTTGTAATCTAAAGCTGAACGGAGTGTAACTTCCTGAGGACAATTGTTGACAGTGTCTTTCAGACAAGTGAACATTTTATGGCCACCGACACACATGGCCAGAACATACAGCATCTCTTTAAAACTGGTTTGACATTTCTGTTTTGTCAGTAGAATTCCTGAAACATGTTAAACTTACAGTGCAGGACTTGATGGGTGATGATGCGGTGGAACAGTAAGAGGATGCATGTAGTGACACCTGCTGGTCGTCTGGTCATACAACAGCACGCCAAACCTGGTTCACGTGATAGACATTTAGCAGGGTGACTTACAGTGATATATCGTTTCTTACCCCTAGATCTTTAACATAGCAACCAACTCATTATACGGAGGTCAAAGTTTAACCCACAGTGTGCTGAATACAGAAATCACTTATACAAAACAATGCTAATTTTGTAGCACGGCCATGTTGTTAAAACATTCAGAAAATCATTTCAAAAGGTTTAATGTGTTTTTAAAATTTCCTACCTGGAGCCTTGTAGGGATTCAGGGTCCTGCTCAGGGGCTCACAGCCATAGTGGATAAAACTGTCTGCTGATATTCATTTTTTTAGTTCTGCTCTATCCTCTAAAATATGACTGTACATGTGTCCAGAGAAACAGGAACTAATTAATATTGCCAAAGTCAATCTACTGATTTCCAATCTAGAAAATATCAAACATGAGCCTGTTTTTTTTTTTTTACTGGATCCTGATCAGCAGCAAAAACAATGATTACGTTTTCTTTCCAATACAAAGCAAACAGAACACATTTGATCATTTAACGTAGCTGACAAAAGTTAGTTTACAAAAAATAATACATTTTCTGTAAATTGACTGACTACAGTTAGAAATACCTGTTTAGAAGGAAAAATGCAGATGATAAATGACTTCACCCCAGAGAGCACTTACGTTTCACAATTTATTTTCCACATATTCAACTTTTAAATAGTAAATGATAAATCAATCGGGGGTTGAGGTCAATGTCAAGGCTGATCCAACGCTCGATCACAGAAAGCTGCTCTGTACATTGTGGGTTAAAACTTTCAAGTGCGTTAACAGTAGTTTTGATTTTTACAAATAAAACAAAAACGGGCATCCTGACGGCCTAGCATACCACATCGCTGCAATTTTCCCTGTTCGATTCCAGTTGGGGACCTGCTGTATACAAAGTCCTTCTGTCATTTATGCAGCTGAAGTCAGTCTTTTGAAAAGAACTGGATGTTGAGTCTTTGTAAGATCCTGACAGTGTCCTCTATTCTCCTCCCAACCCTTACAGGGGAGGGGGAGGAATTTCAGTGCTGGGGGTCATGAGGGCCTGGATGGTGTTTCTGCTTTATGTTTGTTTGTGGGGTCTAGAACGGTCCCTTCATACACGACCTTGTTCTTGATGCCGTCCTGGATCATCCTCTGCTGCACACGAAGCTTAGCGTTGGACATCCTGCAGTAAAACCTGGAGGGGGGACACACGGCAGGGTTTCTGTTACAAACAGACGTGGATTACAAACGGAGAGGAAACTGCAGTAAGATGTGAGCTCATGTCGGGAGGAAAAAACAAAACAAAAAAAACCCCTGCAAATATTGGTTGTGGGTGTAAAGAATAAAAGTGCTCTCTTTAATCGTATGCCAAGAATGAAGTGTCAAGTCACCATAAAGACCTACCAGGACCCGAGTGTGGTGAGCATAAAGCCTGCAAATCCCACGTCAAAAGACCTCTTCACCCGACCTGCACAAAGACAAACAGGAGATGTAGGAATTTTAGTCCAAAATGAACCTCTTTGCAAAAAGTGTGTTTCTCTCTGTTAAGGGACTTCGGGCTGATTTGTTACATCTAAGTTAAATACAGAGCTTTGCAAATGTTCAGACATACAAAGAGCTTTTGCATAGCTTGTTGTGAAACAAAAGTATAAAATTATTTGACCGTCTTTGAGATCTACACAGTTTCTTTTATGCCAAATTAATAGAAATGTTCTGTTAACTGAAGTTAAATAAATAAAATCCATAATCTCTGATGCCTTAACATATGAAAAAGACGCAGTATACTCACTTTTGATGCACCCCTTTTTCCCCCCCATATGCTACAATGTGAACAACTAAACATTATTACGCTGCAGCCTCTACTCCTCTCTCAGTGTCGGGGCTGAGCTCCTCCACAAATACAAACACAGAGAGGCCACGGTGGAGACAGTGAAGTGAAATAAAAGGTAACTCACAGATTATTCAAGTTGACGACAACTACGCTTGTTACTGTTAAGTACGTGCAATAAAACTCTTGCGAGTAAAAAGCCAATACTTGATCAATCTGCTGTAGAAAGCAATATTATAATATGCTCTGTCCGCAGTCTCTTATCCACCACCTTTATGTTTTACACAAGCACAGCACATTAGCTCTGCAAATACCAAAGGCTGCCCTTCTCCCTGTACACCCAGTACACCAACAGTTTGCGGACGACACCACCCTCATTGGGCTCATCTCTGGTGGGGATGAGTCCGCCTACAGGTGCGAGATCAACCATCTGGTGACCTGGTGCAGCCAGAACAGTCTGCAGCTCAACGCTCTCAAGACCGTGGAGACGGTCGTGGAATTCAGAAAGAGCACAGCCCCACCCTCCCCATCACCCTGTGTGACTCCCCAGTCACAAATGTGAACTCCTTCCACTTCCCGGGCAGCATCATCTCCCAGGACCTCAAGTGGGAGCTGAACATCACCTCCCTCACCAAGAAGGCCCAGCAGAGGATGTACTTCCTGCGGCAGCTGAAGAAGTTCAGCCTGCCAGAGACAATGATGGTGCACTTCTACACCGCCATCATGGAGTCCATCTGTACCTCCTCCATCACCATCTGGTACGCTGCTGCCAATGCCAGGGACAAGGGCAGGCTGCAGCGCATCATTCGCTCTGCAGAGAAGGTGATTGGCCCCGATCTTCCATCACTTCAGTGACCTGTACGCCTCCAGACCCTGAGCGAGCAGGAAAGATTGCAGCTGACTCCTCCCACCCGGACACAAACTGTTTCAGACTCTCCCCTCTGGCAGGAGGCTGCGGTCCATCAGGACCAAAACCTCTTGCCACAAAAGCAGCTTCTACCCATCTGCAGCCTCATTAACAAGGCCCGGGTCCCTCACTGACACTCAAATACTGGAAATGCCTCTGCACATGTGTTATTGCCACCACCTTTATCTGTGTATATGTATCTGTGTTGTGCAGCTGTGTGTCATGTTAAGAAGAATATGTGATCCCTTGCTGAGGATTGAATGTGTGAATATGTGATCCCTTGCTGAGGATTGAATGGCAAGACCTGCCTACTTCCTGGTTCCGGCCGGTGATCTGATTGGTGTGACAACTGGCAATCTCCTCCAATCATCTACCGCCTTCCAGACCCCCCCCCCCCCATTTAAATAGCTGCCTCTCCTGTTGAACTTGGCAGTTGTGATTTTGCCCTTGATCATCTCGCCTCGTTTGGATAGTGCTCCATTGTAGTGAACGTGTTAAATTCTGTAGGAGATTTAGTTCAGTGATTTACAAGAGTAAGATCTTAGTGTTTCCTGTGTTACCTTAATCTGTGAGCTGTGGTAAGGAAATTGGGCAACGATCTTTGTGGGGTTAACTGACACCAACCAGACATCTGTTGATTCATTTTATGTTAGACACACTAGGTTTGAGGGTGCTGCTCATTTTGTGTTTTGATTATTGATGACAGGTCAGAGAGAGTTTTGTTTAAGTTGATTTTGAAGTAGCCATCTCTCTTTTTGGAGAGACCTCTTTAAGTTATTTTTTATTTTTTCCATTATTTTTGTAAACCCTGAAAATAAATAACTTGCCATTTTACCAAAAACATTATGGTTCATGTTGCTTCCCTTTTCCCCACGAGCCAATGAGAGTATCAATATGAAGTGTTTAAATTAAATCCTATTGATACCCGTTCAAAAAACACATTTTTTGGGGACCACTCAAATGCCCGTCCTTGAGACCCTAGAAAAGTTACACTTGTCAACCATCCAATTAGGCTAATTCTCAAAACCCGTGATAAACGAAGTAAAACAATCACTTAATGGGCAAAGGAAAGACACAGACAGTCCAGACTCACTCGTGGCCAGGAAGTGTAGTAGACCGGCGGTCAGTGAGCCCCCGGCTCCGTGTAGGACGGCATCTCTGGCACACGGAGTATTCTGGACATCCAGAATCCCCAGCAGCCTGAAACCCTGAACGACAGACAAAGACAAAGTAGACCTTAAATGTGACTTCTTTTCTCTTACATTAAGTGATGTTGAGACCTGCTAAATTCCTACATAAACGTAATGGAAATTGAATGTGCACATTTTATCCATCGTAACAAAGACTAAAATCACCTGTATTTATAGTTATTTTACACATGCTTTGTTTTGATTATTGATGAGTATGCTCAAGATCAAGATAAACTTTGTTGTCCTCTGAGGGAAATTTGTCTGGGGCATTGCACAAGTATATGAGACACTGAATCAATTAAGACCTGAGGATGCTCAAAACAACTGAGTGATTCTGTTCAGTCCACGAGCAATAAAATAACAACAACTTCTTAAAAAATAAATAACCCCTTTCAGAGCAAGGTAGTCAAAATTTACAACTACTTGCAAACATGATTTAAATAGTAAACAATATTGAAAGTATAAAGTGGCAGAAGTACTTCAAGACTGTTGGTGTATTGTCTCGTCCCTTTGTAACACTGTGTGTGAGTTTAATGTGTGAGTTTATTGTCCAGAGAGCAGCCAAGCCAATGTTTTTCAATGGAAATGCATAGTTTGTATTTTAATGCACATAAAAGGGAGAAATCCTCGTAGTAGTATGACTCAAGACGTTAATACATTCAGTATCAGCTGCCGCCTGTATGAAGTCTATGGTTCAACCGATCACCAAGCAAAAAGTACAGTGAATAATCCGTAAGACTAATTGTTCAGTGTTGATGTGTCAGAGGACCTTTCCCCTTCGCGAAACGTAAAGTCAGTCAGACTTCGGGCATAAGTTAATCTTAAATTCTTAAATATTTGAAAGGGGTTTGGTTTGAACAAGTAATTTCTGCTAACGTTTTATCTGCTAGCTTTATTACTGCCTTACTAATTTATGTCAACATTAACGTCAGCTGTGCTTTTGTTATGTCTGAGTTTCAGTTTCTACTTCTCCAGTGTTTGAACGCACGCAGCTTTTGCTTTTAGATTCACACACTTCGCTACTTCACCAAGAGAAACTATGAGAACTTAATGAATCAGCTCACAGCTCCTGGACGCTGAAGTTGACCTTCTGAAAACGGAAGCTAGCAAACTTCTTCTGTTTCTTTAGCAGCTTAAGGTTATTTGAGACCCTCACCTTGCTCTTGGTCTGCTCTTCTTCTCCTGCCATTGTACCACTGCGTTTGACTCCTGTGCAAAGTTTGCGCTGAATTTATCCTAAAGACACCGTCATGTAACAATCATTTTCACAGCGCATTGGTCACGGCGCATGCGCTTTACCTACCAAAGGGGTCCGTCTGCTTTTAATCGCCGACTCGAAAAGAGAAAATGGCAGATGTATAGTTCCGATATTCATGTTGGTATGTAAATTAAATATATAAAATGTTCGTCTATACTTTGGATTATGTTTGCTAGATATATAATGTGTACCCCCCCCATCATGTAGTGTTTGTTATTTCTAGCTTTTTAATAGCCTTCTTAGGCTATTTGTTTTTGCATCGTTGTATCCACACTGTTTGTTTTAGTTTTTTTTAAGGTTATGTTTATGTGTTACTGCTTCTTCCTATTTAGAGTTGCATTTAGGTTACAAGTTGTTGACATGTTACACCAAACGAAAAAAAAGATAAAAGATATCGAAAGTCTTACTGTGGGTATTTGGCTATTTAGGCTACAGCAAGTATCCTTATTTATTCATTTAACTATCCTTGTTATTTTCTAAATATATATTTATTTTTTAAATGAGCAAATACAAATCCTGCAACTTAAGTTTCTTATTCCTATTTTTGTTTAAGACATATGTAAACACCCAGCACAAAACTAGGCTACGGTAGCTAATAAACAGTATTTTACAATCAAATGTGCTGAAATTTACAAGAGTAAAATTTTTTGGCAGCTTACAGACGTGGGTTAGATATTTTATTTTATATTCTAAATACGGTTAAGTGTCTCTTTGCTTCTGCAACTTAGTTTTCTACTGTGGGATCTACCAAACCTCCCAGAGAATAAAGAAGTAGTTAATGAAATTGAAATACCGGCTGGATTACGGAAATCTGCTCATTTGTCGCAAACAGGAAACCTGAATCATACTGTGTCATCTTAACCCATTAAAAAACTTAATTCTCTAAACGATAGGATCAAAGTCATGTCAGGAGGAAGTCCGCGTGTCACAGTGATCCCACACTGATAGAACAGGATTATTTCACCGGCAGCAGAATACTAACCTGCCTGACAGTCTGCATCCTGCTGTATCCAGCCTTTCTGTAAACCCTTAAAACAGCCTGTAACATAGACTATTTAAAAAAAAAAAAAAAAAAAAGCGATTTGTAGTAATGTACCAGTAGGTTAAACATAGGTCTTTTAACAAGTCGTTAATATAGGCTATGTTCCATATATTCCTATCACGTCATAGATAAAACAGCACTTTGTACACTGAAGATACGCCTATCAGTATTTTACTGGTAACCGTAGGACTTTTGGCACATTTTTATTTCAGCTGCCCTCCTTCTCCCTGCCATAATTCAATTCAATTCAAAAAACGTGGGTATACTATCTTATAATAAGTTCCCCAGGTTGTGCCCTATATCAGTTATGGCAAGACCATGTAGCCTACTGTGCTGAGTAGCAAATACATACAGATAATGTGTACAGCTCTTAAAAATACGCGTTCCCATACCGGGAGTCGAACCCGGGCCGCCTGGGTGAAAACCAGGAATCCTAACCGCTAGACCATATGGGAGACAATTTCATAAGACACGTCTCTTACTACAGACAGCATTATTTAAATAATAATAATAATAATAATAATAATAATATAATAATAATAATAATAATAATAATAATAATTGTAGCCTGTTAACTCCGTTACAATTATAAATTACAACCAGCCTCAGTTTAATCCCTTCCTCTGTCAAAAAATACTAAAGTCACAGTGGCCTTGAGCAAGGCACTGGAACAGCCTTTATAATCTTTATAATTCTGGCATTGTAACAGGATGTAAAAGTGTTATGGAGAGGTCCTAATCCCCCAGATTAAGTAAAGGTTTAAACTGTACCATGGTCCTCCTTGTAACAAAAACAGGTCACCGGGGTTGACATCTCATATGAGCAAGTTTCATCCTGGATACCAGGCTCCTCTGTGCTGAATAAAGACTGAGCAGGACATCTGGCCTCAGCACACAGCCTGCATATGCCAGAGAGGTAAGTCATGCTCCTTTACACCAACAACCACCAAGCCATTAATCTGAATGTTATTTTTTAATTTTTATGTTTTAATGTGGCTAGTGTTGCGTAAGAATTTAAGTAAGTACAATAATATTAACTGTATTATTAAACTGTACTAAATCTGGTGTGAATAGAAATGAAAACTGAGGTCATGAAGGCAGGATGAAAGTTTAATAATCTATATTATTTCTCCACAACCAGCGAGGAGAGTATGAAAAAAGAAACTTCTGGGAAACAGCCAAATTGTTCAGCCTTTAGGTGTTTTGCAGGGCGTAACTCTCAATAATGGTTAAACTAATAATTCATGTCTCATCACACTAATAAAAACAACAAGTAGACTTTTGTGGCATTGTTATATCTATCATGATACATAATAATATATATAGTCAGTAATATTGGTGAGGTGAGGTGCCTGCGCAGGGCCCAAAGGACAATAAACAAATAAATACATTTATTTATTTATTATTTATATTTATTTGTCACAAGACTTTTTATGAGTTGTAAAATGACAAATAAATTAATCTTGTAACCTCGTAAAATGTGTCCTGCTACAGAAAAATAATATAGGTCCATAATTTTTTAACACAGTACCTCATTGTGTGTATATTGCTCGCTTGTTTTCAACCCTTTCTAAGTATGCTATACTATGAAGTATTAATAGTAAAGGAAAGGACAAAGAATAAATCAATCAATTAACAAAAAAATCCAGTATAACCAAGCAAGGAAGCAACAAATCAGGATCATGGAAAGGATCAAGTTTAGAAGAACCAACCAGTTTCACCCATCTGTGCTTCCAGAGAGATTTTTATCCAGTTCCATCAGTCTCAATGAATTTCATTCAATAACTTCCTCCATAACCACCGCACAGCCACTGGTCACACACCCAGTAAATTACTGATTAACCAACTCACTATCCCACTTCTCCTTCTGCAGGATGAATGCTGGACAGGTCAACAGAGTGATGTTCTCCTTGATGTTAAGTTTGTTTGTAGGAGCCTCTTCTTCCATGTGGCCCCTGGCTCCTGCAGGTAAATAAGACAATCAGAAAGTTTTTATTTTCTGGATAATAATAATAATAATAATAATAATATATTATTGTAAATACCCATCCTCAACACTGGAATAACACAGCATTAGCCTACTTGACAACTTTGTAGATGTTTATTATGTGTCAGTCTGATTTTTGGGTGCTTTAATTCAACTCTATCCATCTAGGTGAATTATTTTTAACTCCATACAGGTTTGCTATGAAGTAAGCAAGTGGAAGTGAAATGCAGAATGTGGTTATACATTTCCCTAAATGTGAAATGAATAGCTGTGTCTGAATTGTGGGTACATTAGTAATTAATACGTGTGAAGGAATTGTCACAGTAAAGTGGACATGAAACTTCATATCGTATGTGTGAGTAAACATTACGCATGCTAGTAAATGTTAGTAATGTAGGACGAGCAATTTCGTCACAGCTAATGTGTATGCAGAGTCTCTATGTTTCCCATCTCCTCTTGTGAAAAAAGAGTTACACTATGTGACATATTTGAACTAAATTTCCATCACCAGCGGCCTTCCAGCTGCCACTCTGCCAGCTCATCAACCAGACGGTGTCTCTAGAGAAGGAGGGCTGTTCCAAGTGTCACACAGTGGAAACAACCATCTGCAGTGGTCACTGCATCACCAAGGTATTGTGGGTAGTAGAGGAAAGAGGGTCATAGTTTAACATAAATTAACCTTCATTAACCCTGTCTGTGGTCAGGGATTTTACTATTTTATTTATATAAAGTGAAACAATAGACACTGATGCACACAACCTTCAAGATGGTATGAAATTATAAAATGGAACTAAAAAGTCTGGGGAATAAAGTCATAAATTAAAAATGAAATTATTGTTAACATGTAAATAATACAAAATGCCAAGCTCATAAGGTCTAGGTTTGAGCTCACATTAGAACACATGAAGTCTTGAATTCAGATGCACATTAATATTCTTGGAAGCAACATTCTCCACAGTAAGCCAATGGATAAATGGACTGAACATTACTGCAACCTAATGTAATTACAGCTGCCTATTAATCCAATTCAATTCAGCTTTATGTATCAGTGGGTGTGTTGCAAAGGCAATCAAACAACCAATTTTAATATCAACAGTTTCAGGAAGCAGTTTGGTTTGGCCCTTATCTCTGTGTGACAGGACGCTGCGTCTCTAGCAATATCTCACCTATCTGAGCTGACTGCTGCTGTGACGGTCCAGAGACTATGCTTTGAAGCAGGTTCACAATGTTTCAAGTCCGTCTTAAAATAATAGTCAGGTACAATATGTACTTTAAAACAGCCTGCAGGAATCTTTCCTCCTGTTCATTCTATCCAATAACAAATCCCTTCCTAATGCTCTTGCTGTAATGTGTTCCTCACCCTACCTTGATGTGTAGCTTAATAGCTCTGTGCCATTATTCTTTATAAATGAACTCCTCTTGTTGTTTTTACTCCCCTCCAGGACCCTGTCATCAAGATCCCATTCAGCAACGTTTATCAGCATGTGTGCACGTACCGGGACTTTTACTACAAGACGTTTGAGCTTCCTGACTGTCTTCCTGGCGTGGACCCGACCGTCACCTACCCTGTGGCTTTGAGCTGCCACTGCGGCCGCTGTGCCATGGACATGTCTGACTGCACCTTCGAGAGCCTGCAGCCCAACTTCTGCATGAATGACACTCCTTTCTACTACTAGTCTCAAGTAATAGCAGCATAAAACACATGGAAACACACTATAAATAAAGATTTGCTAGTGCAAAAAATTATGTTTGTATTTGTCGTGCAATTAAACCAGGGAAAATACCCACATTGAATATTTCAAGGAACTTCCATAAAGATGAAGACTGTTTCTCACTAAATGTTTCCTGCCACATCCAGCAAGCACGTGTCACTCTGTGTTGCATTACGCAAAAAACATCTGAGATTTGATCTGTCTTTGAGGTTGTGGTTTGGATGTTTTAGGGAAACCGCGGTGTGTAAGATTAACTTTGTTAGTGGGGTTATTTCACGTAGCATCTCACACTGAAACATGAGACACACGTACAGTATCAATGATTGCATTATATTTTATATAATTTTGGGGTGGTATGTGTCATCCTCAAGCTCGGGTCCTCTACCAGAGGCCTGGGAGTTTGAGGGTTCTGCGCAGTATCTTAGCTGTTCCTAGGACTGCACTCTTCTGGACAGAGACCTCTGATGTTTTACCTGGAAAATAGCATGATCAGCAGAGGGCATGCCTAGGTCATCATTTTTGTATCCTTAATTAGTAGTAATCACTAATCATTCTTAAGTCATCATTTTTAATCATTTTATTATCCTTGATTAGTATTAATCATTAATCATTCTTAGTCAGTTTATTGATTATCCTTACTCACTTCTTAATCTTTGTAATTACCTAGATGTGTCTTGTTTTTACATAGAAGTGCTGTGCTGTAATCATTCACTGTGGTTAAGTTCCGTGAGTGGGGGCACTGACAGCAGACACTGAGACCATGCACGTCTTGGTCAACTGTTATCTACTGTAGATTTATGACAGCAGGAGAGGCTGCAGGTGTTCAAAATCTGCTGTGACATGTGCATGCTTTGGTCTACTGTTATCTACTGTGGTTATGACTACATGATGAACTGCTGATGTGTCAGTCTGCTGATATTAAGACAACATGTTTAATTACCAACTAAGACTACATGCTTAATTACTGATTAAGGGGTTGATTGTCAACGTCCAACCTCTGATCCTTATAGCCTGTGTGAGCTTTGAGTGAACTTGCTTGTAGCATCATGTAAGCATTTGGTGAACTTGCTGAAGGAGCATTTGCTAACTTTGCATGGCAGAATGGGTGAGCTTCTGAGGCAGAAAGCGGATGAAAAAATGATGATAAGCAGAAAGTAGAAAACAGCCAGTATAACAACAAGATTACTGTAAGAAACCAAGCATTAATGAAAGGCACAGCACTACATGTTATTCCTGTAGTAATTATTTAAGAAATATAATTGTGTGTCAAATTGTATTTGCATAACTTTTGCATAACTGTAATATATGAAAATATAGAAAGTCAACAACACAGAATGATGAATGATAGCTGGAAAACATTGTTAATTGGTATAACAACTTGTGTGAACAGCATAAAAGCAGAAGATAAGAAATTCACCATAAAGAAAGGAGGGGGCACACCAGCCCAGAAGGGATATATAAAGCTGTCTGCAGACCATAGGGTTGACTTCATCCTCCAACCTGCAGGGATGTTGTACGGATTTATTTGTCCTGTTTTGGAATAAACTCTTTTGCACCGAGTATTTTTTGACAAAGTTTATAAAGCTGGTGAAGGTGGGGACCAGGCTTAACTGGCCCAGCCTGTTCCTGTACACTGTTCCATCTACCTGGTCATGGTGCTCCATGTATGCTGTTCCTGCCTGCATCTTACACTCTGCTGTTATGTGCTGTACTGTCTCGGGGGCATCCTTGCGCAGCCTGCATCTGGGATCCTGCCTGATATGGTAGACCCTTTTCTAGCCATTGGTAGAATTTCATGATCAGGGCGTCAAATACTGATGCTTTCAGAAAGCCTGACAAAGCTTTGGTATTTGACGCACAAGGTAGCAGTGGTCATATGAAAGGCTTTTTATATGAGGTCTTCAGCGTCTGTAAGGAATGCCTTCAGGTTTAGGAAAAGATCATGGTTTTGGTAGGGTTTAGGCACAAAATACTGAAGTCACTTTATGGATAGACAGAGTGTATACAGGGCAGGAGGTCCAAAACGATCATCAAAATAAAACATGCAGACAGCTTTGGATGGTTGGTGTGCTGTATATGATGGGTTAGACCAATTACATTCCATGTTTTTAAACCTGTCAAATTTAAGTCATTTCGACAACAAAATATGTGAAAATAGGGTGCAAGTATCTGACTGAGCTTATTTTAAGAATACCATTCACAGTGTTTGAAACATCTGAGCACAAGGACGACTAACAGCGAGAGGATTTTGCTGTAGTGCTGAGTGGTTGAAGAAATGGCAATGGACATTTGGATGCTTTGCTGTGAAACCAGGTCATATTGGAAACCATTTAAATGGTTTTGAAGACAAGCAGAGTGCAGCTTCCATTTCAAGCCTACCGGCAGTGTTGGATACTCAAAGCAGCTCCTCTACACTTTTAGCTGAGGTGAAGGCCGGCAGTCATGTCAGGATATTTATGTGGAAAAATATTTATAAATTAATCATTTGAACAGAAACGGAAATTATCAGAGATTATTTCAAAACTCTGGCCAGCAAGTGGGACCTGAAGCATATTTGTGCCTTTCTCACGTCCTTACAGGAGGAGGTGCATATTAACAGGAAACTACTGCATGTTATCACTTACCATATTTACTTTAGATTGTTTGGATGCAGAGAAAAACACATCAGAGACTGGTGTAGGGGACTCATTCAGGTGGGGTCTCACAGCTTTCAGAGTTAAGTTTTGCTAAATTATTTTTTTCTTATGGATTTGCATGAATATTTATATATATAATAGAATAGAATATATAAAACTGAAATATCTGTATTTGTGGGAAGTTGCACCTCACAGCTTTAGTGATGTCACTGAACAATGTTAGGTAGATACTAAAAAACCTGCTCCCTTTTAACAATCTGATCTCTTAAACAACAGGTTTCACTCTGAAGAATGGAAGATTTCTACATTAACAGCACCTCACGGAACCAAAGCTATGATTACAGCAACATCACCTCTGACTACTTTGTTTACAGCGACATTACTTTCAAATACTATGATGTTGAAAGAGTTGATTTCATCATACATGTGGTGACATGTATAATCGTTGGTATCGGCCTTCCTTTGACCTTCATGGCCATCTATGCTCTTTATTCTCTGGTATGTACATTATGACTTTATTTATTTACTGTCTGTGCCATGTGTCTGTCATACCGTCTGTCAGTCTTTCTGTAAAGGATCTTGATCTGGAAAATATAAAATAGTAATTTTACTTTGTATTTAGTAGACATTCATGGTCCCCATAGGATGATGATTGATGATCTGATGATCCGGTGATCTCCTGACTTTTAATTTAACGCCATCATCAGGTCATAAATGTTAATTTGTTCTTTGACTAAATACCTGCAAAACTAATGACATACCCATCAGCATGAGCTGTACTTTGTGTTTAGTGCTAATATGCTAAAAAAAAAAAAGTGATCTTGATTATAAAATATTTACTTTCTTCGTGGATGAACTCCACTTGAGGTAAACTGGTAGGTTATTACTCGAAATATCAACATGTTCATCGTGAAGGAAATGGAGATGAAGTGATCTACTAATACATATGGTTTTAACAAAACAAAGAAAAGTTTTGCTGCAGCCTGCAGTGAATTTACTGTTTAGATGGTCATTAAAAGATTAATGAACACAAACCAAAACATGTAGTTTATACGTTACAATAATCAAATATTGTATTAAAAAATAATAATAGTCTAATTGTTAAGTTAAATGTAAGCCTATATTTAATGCAGCTCATACTTATGTTTCTCTGCAAACTGACAGGTTAAAATTTTTGTGACCTCAGGAAATCCAGTGAAAACATAATGAACCTCTGTTAACATGTCTCCTCTTATTACTTGTGCGATCCTCCCTGAAATACACATACAATGAGGAGAGAGGCTCACTTTGCAAACACAAACATGAGCCTCAAACTGCGACTCCAGTCTGTTTGATAAATTCAGCGCATGTGTTTGAGCCAGAATGCTTCATATCTGTGGCTGAAAAACTGCTGCAGAAGCTGCAGGAAATCTGGCTCTTAGTCTTGTTACTGCAGTTATTGGCCAGTGTGTCATATCTGAGATTTCTGTTGGATGAAAAAGTCAGAAATGGCTCTGACTGCAGCTGCTGTGCAGAGCAAGATGACAGTTTTGGGAGGAGTTGGACTTCACAACATGTTCACAACTGCTTGTTGACTTTTACCTGCAGGTGAGAAGTGATCATGTTGCTCCGATCTACGTCATCAACCTTCTCATTACCGACCTCCTTCAGCTCTGCTACATGATCGTTGATGTAGCACAACATGGGATGATGCATACCAGCGCCTTTTATATTTACCTCTCTGGTCTGATTGCTAGTGTTGGCTTCATGGTCTGCGTCGCCCTGGAAAGGTATCTGTCTGTCTATCCAGTACTGAACATTGTATTAATTTATAACTCTGAAGCTCCTCAAAGACTTTGTGTCCATCTTGTATTACAGGTATTTGGTCATCGCCCACCCGCTGTGGTACCGCTTCAGACGAACCATCAAGACCTCTGTAGCGGTCTGTGTCCTGGTCTGGGCCATTCCTCTTGTATATTTTCTCACTTTGCATGTCTGCCATGTTTATGTGCTAGAATCAATACTCTTTGCCGTCATTTTCCTCCTTCCCTTCCCACTGTTAATCTTCTTCCTGGTTGGGACCCTCAGAGCCCTGTCTGCTTCCATCTCTGTCCCCTCTGATGAAAAACGAAGAATTGTGGGAATTTTGGTTCTGGTGCTGCTTATTTACACGCTGCTGTTCCTGCCCACCATCATTTGTTATCTGGGAGTATTTGACTATGACGAGCACCTCTTGTTCCTGCCTTTCATCTTTGTTAGGTTGAGTCCTCTTGCAGACTTGGTCCTGTATGTCTTCATGAGGAAAGGGGTCATAGACAAGCTTTTGGCCTCTGTGTGTTGTTGCAGAATAGATAGCAAAGATATCAGCAGTCCATCAGTATGAATGCATCTTAAGACGTGTTCATGCACATTTTAACTTAGTTGTTTACTTTTCTTTGTTAGTAATAATGATAAATAAAGTAATGTATTTTTACCCCAAACTGTGTGTATTTTTTATTATTTTTGTACAGATGAGAAACAAAACCGCATATTGTTTGCTTATCTTTATTTCATATAAGTTTAATTTTTGTTTCTTCAGTTGTGTGCATGCTAGTTTTTAGGATGTGATTAAAATTAAAAGCTTTTTTATTTATTTTTACGGTTGTGCTTAGCAATATGGACAAAATCTTTTTATATGAAATTGTACATTTTCTGGAAATCCAATAAAAAAATCTGTTTCTTGGCAAAACTGTGAACGTTTGTCTTTGACCAGCTCACTAAATCAAAACCTGAAAAATTAAGGTTTAACTAAAACCACAGTGATGTGGAGTTTGTTGAAAAAATTAGTTTCTCTAATACTCCAGACACGTATTTGTTTACTCTTCTTTTCCCATAATCCTTAGTGTTGGGTGTTGTTATAGCAGAAGATTGTTCTCTTACATTTAATCTTTCATGTATGATCTTTTAATATTATTATTATTTCTATTATTGTTATGGCTTATAGATATATATGTATTGTATTTTTATCCTTCACCTTCCCTTCTTCTATACTCCTTATGTTAGTCCGTCCACATTTACTAGGGTTTAGGTCAGAGCTGTGAGATTGTTTTGGTGTTTTCCACTTCTTGATGTTCCTCTCCTCTCCTGGAATGTTCATTCAAGGCTGAGAGAGGATCTCTGTTCCCCAAAACATAGAAACCTAGACTGTGCAAATGATTATGCATCCCTTTGCTCGGGGCCAGACGCCCAAAGCTTCCCTAGGAAGTAGCAGGTCTCTGGATCAGCTGTAAATGTATTTTAGTACTCTTTTTTATTAATAAATTCTTTAAAGACAACGGTTGGTTGTTACTCAATTATTTGCTTAATCCCTCACCCGCAAGATACATTTCCATGACAGGTGTTCTTCCTGGATCTTGTGGCTATTTTCACAAAGGTCTAGTTTGGATATCCACAAGCTTTTAAGTGCTTTTATGTTCCTTTTCTTGGGCTTGGGCACTTGTTGGTATGTCATCAGATCTGATGAACTCTATGCTCCAGAGGGTGGTGAGAGTTAAAGAGTGTGTGTATTGGTCTGTGTGTGTGTGTGTGTGTGTGTTGGGTTTATTAATGAGGTAAACAGCTGCCCACATGTCATTACTACAGAGGTTGTTTCATTTTTGTAATAAGTGTGCTTATAATTTGGATATTTCACCCCACTGAATATAATTCTGCTGACACAATATCTTTGCAGGGTTTTGCCATTTCTTATTAAATAATCTTTAGGTGCTTTTTAAGGATCTTAAGGCTACAGGGAAAGAGTTCCAGAGCCTAGGAGCCACAACACTAAAAGCACAGTCACCTCTTGTTGTGGGAATATTTAAGAGGTCTTGGGCTGAAGACCTCAAAGACTGACCACTGGTGTTTGCATGTCATAGGCCCTGAATGTATGAGTCAGCTTGACCGTGCAAGGCTCTGTAAGTGATGACTTTGATGAATTTTAAAATGCACACTGATGCCAAGAGGAAGCCAGTGACCGGCCTCTAGCACAGAAGTAATGTGTGACCTGCTGGTCCCAGTCTAAAGCCTTGCAGCTGCATTCTGTACAATTTGTCAGCTTATGAATGATTTGTTCAAACAAGGGTGCAGTACATTTATTTTATCACATACAAACGTGATAAAATAAAAGCATGAATAAGCAGCTCCATCTTTTTTTGAAACAACAACCCAACATTCTTTTCTATTAGACCACATCACATAGCTGCCAAGTTTCTTTATGTAAAAACAAAAAAAATGGCTGACATTCCTTTTATTCTCAGTACAACATGCAATATTTTAAGATAGTTTCAGCATTAATGTGTTTTGATAACATTTCTAGTAAAATACATTTGCTTCATTTTCATAACCTCATTCCAAATCTCGATCTCCTCTGTGACTGACCTCACTTGTTGGGCTTTATATTTTGGAAGCGAATGTACAACATTGTGGTCCGATGCGCCAATTGGTGGACGACACACAGCTCTGAATGCGTCAGGTATATTTCCATAACTGTTGAGGGAGCGTAGATTTGATCTTATTTTAGCAAATTCCCTTTCATTGTTACAGCCATCCCCAGCTAGTGATCCAAATCGCCCCAGTTGTGGGGTAGGATGTAACAATGCAACTCTTTTGTATTTGATACTAACTCACATATCCTGTGATTGTGTGGTAGTTGTCCAAGTGAGTTGTATTTGTAAAAACCAGATATCGATAGTATGTATCAAAATTTGAGAGACCTGGCACAAACAACCACTGAGTTACTGATGCCAAAGTCCTTATCTGCTGACGCTCAAACAAAAAGGTGTTCTGTGTTATTTTCAATTAAACATTTCATTTTTTTTTTTTTTGCATATCATCACATTGATTTTGGTTTCCTTTCACATTTTACATGGCATGCCAACGTTTTTTGGAAACATAGTTTGTACATACATAGTTTGTTTTGCAGCTTACAATCTTTTTAAGTTTTGTTCATTAAACCGGATACTTTTAACATATACTGTCTCATAACCATACTGATTTAACTGCATCACACAATCAAAGCTTCAGCTGTCAAAAAAAAACTTTATTCACCATATTTTAAAACAATATTGAAAACAAATATCCAAAAAAGGAAGAATGAAAAACAGAACTGAAAAAGCATACCAGTGTGGTGGATCATAAGCTTTAGTTTAAAAAACAAAAACAAAACACAATTTAAAACTCTTCAGTATAAACATAATGACACCATTCTGTTTTCCTTTTGTTCCTGGCATGCTTCACCCGCTCTGCTGCAAAATAAAATACTGTGGTCACCAAGCAGTTTTGGGATTAGCTTTGTAGAGACCGTAGTCTTCTTTCCGGAAAAAGGCCACTTCTGTTTCATTTGCTGAAACGACAAACACAAAAATGTTTACGCTGTGATCAAACTATACTTCCTGCAACAGTTCATCGATATAAGTCTAATTCATAGACTTATTGTTGGAAAATATTTTATTAGACTTCTATTATTGCCCTCAGTATCATTACAGGACATTACAACAGAATATTACAATTTTAATTTTATTTTTTATGAACAAATATTACAGACACATACTGTCGATCAGGCTGAATGCATCTTTGCAAATTATGCATCTAGACCATTTCCATGGTTTCCATGGTGCAAACAGACAATTGTTAAGACGTTTAGATGTACTCAGTTAAAGCACTGGTAAGTTACAATATACAACATGTATTCATAAGCACACACAAGCGCAATGATAAATATTAATAAATATTTATGTGTATTTTTGATGGACAAATGAGATAAGAATGTCTTCAGAAAGTGTAAATAACACCTGATTAAAAAATATCATTTATCATCATCATCCGTTCAAATCTAATCCAACAGGCCTGGAAGAGATCGTCCCTTCATAACTGTTCTAAAGTTCAGTTTTTGTTTCAGAGAGGTGAAAATTCAACTTTATGGTAATTCTGAAAGCTACAGATTGTGGTGCTGTTGAACTGCACTGTATTATTCTGAAGGGTGTTTTAACATCTGTCCACTTCTATCAATGACATAAAATACATAAAATGCACATAATAACCATCATGACAGAAATTTCATTTGTGTTTCAAGACATTTTTTTTATTTTTTTTATTAATGACAAACTCTTACCAACACCAGCAGCTCTAAGGGTTTGGCCATCTTGCAGAATTAACTTTTCATCATCATCTAAACTCATCACCAACTCATTAGTCTGTCAAAAAAAACAACAGAATTCCATCTATATGCATTTGTAAAACATAAAACCAAGGTGAAAAACTTCACTTTTCCAACTATAATACAATGATATACACACACACCACATATTATATTTACAGTGTATACCCTAGGATTTTTTCCGAAACTACTAGTGTCGTGGAGCGGGCGTATTACGGATCCGTGGTGTCGTCATCGACGTTCTCCGTTGACATTTTTACTGCTAACGTAACTACCTCTCGATGGAGCTTGCTATTGTTATGCTACATTCACAAATTGTACGATCAGACCATGGATTGAGCCTTGTGAAAATTCTAAGCCCGATTCAGCTTTATTTTTTCCAAAATTCTTTGTTTTACGTTTAAATTATTTGGAATTCTGTGTTTTACACTTTAAGCACATTCCGTCATAAGAAAGAGTAAAATCATGTGGTGAATTCATGAAAATATGACAAATTGAATCAATATCAATTAATTTGATTACAATGAATGTATTACAACAGTAGGATATAAAAACAGACAGCCTCCATACTGAACACACGGTATAAGTGGGTCTGACAGAGGCAACTCTCACATGGGCAGCGCTTCCCATTTATAAAGTAATTTTTTTTTTTTACCAATATTGCGATTCACTATGCGATTAATTTTTCATTCAAGCTCTTTACCTTCTGTATTATTCAAAACAGACAAGCAGTAAATCCGTGTGTAGTACGACCAACACAATATTAGCTATATTAAACATACACTCTTCTTTCTAGTGGGTCAGGCCTGTGTTTGATGAAATTATCAGGAATGCATAAATTATTAGTATGAGCTATGGTGGAGAAGAAATATAAAATTTTAATAATACGAGAAAGATAATTTGAGAGTCAAGTCATTAAATTTATATGATATTATATCCTCAGGTCGGCCTACCTACAGACCACAAGAACAACTAAGTTTACCACAGTGTGTTATACAGTAAGTGCTCAATACAACACTAAAGTTTCTGTAGTGTCAGCTTCTGTCAAGCTTAAGGCCAACAACAAGTCAAGGTACAGCTTAATGTGCAAAGTTGATGCTTCGTCTTCAGACTGCTTTCCTCTTGGGTGTCATGTGACCAGAGCGTAATCGCAGCCTTTGCAATTAGAAAATCTAATTTTATCACATTGCGATAATATCGCAAATGCAATTAATCGCTCAGCCCTATCAAGTACCGTTCCAATTAAAGTCCACAGTCCAAATGACCTGACGTGTGTGTTTTTGCTCGTACTGTTTTATCGACTGTACTTTGGGAGCTTACTCTTGCGGCCTTGGGATAGCAGGTATTCCAGAATGCATTATGTACCGACCTGGGCAGTGGTGGAGATTTTGAGCCAGGCTCTAAACTGTAATCCTAAGTTTTGTTGTTGTTTTTGTTCAAGAAAGAAAGTACCCATTTTGAACCATAATATGTGGTCACTTTGCCCAAATAATGCCTATTTGGAAGTTTGCTCCAACGTTTTTAAGAGGCCAGTTGAGACCATCCGCACATCTCAGGTCATGTCAGCATCGAATAGCTCGGCCCCGAGACGGCTGGCCGGCCTCTGTCCGTTGTCATCCTGGGTAGAACTGTCTTATCTCGCATCTTTTAAACCGCAGATTCCTACCATCTCTATAGCGCTTTAATTCTTCTTGAAGATAAATTTTTATCTGAGAGTTTAAATGTAATATTTGTTGCCCCTGCCTGCTCTTACATTGCTCTGATTCTGCTAAGAGTCAGACTGTGAGATTGCACTCAGATATGTTGTTCCTTGCACAGATTATGAACATAGGGGCAGTTATTACATATACCAGTAAACACACTTTTTACTAAAATGGCTACATACTGTATAACAGTAACTAGGGCTGAACAATTTTGGAAAATAATCTAATTGCAATTTTTTTTTTAATCAATATTGCGATTTAATATGCGATTAATTTTTAAGCTCTTTACCTTCTATATTAATCAAAATGGACAAACAGTAAATCAGCTTATAGTATGACCAACATATAACATACACTGTTCTTTCTTGTGGGTCAGGCCTGTCTTATGATGAATTAGGTAGAATTATTATTATTATGAGCAATGGTGGAGAGGATATGTCAAATTATAATAATATGAGAAAGATAATTTGAGTCAAGTCGTGGCATTAAATAATATGATATAATATCATCAGGTCGGCCTACCTACAGACCACAAGAAAAAAATAAGTTTACCAGTGTGTTATACAGTAGGCGCTCCAGACAAAACGTGGAGTTCAACCACATATTAATGTGTCCTTATCTCAGTTCTAATCTCCTCCATCCCAGCAAGCAAACAAAAAATACTCAGTTTGGGGTTCAATTCAGAAGTTGGCAGCCTTTGCGATTAGAAAATCTCGTTTTATTAAATAGCGATAATATTGCAAATGCAATTAATTGTTCAGCCCTAAAAGTAACTGTATATCATAGCAGAGAAAATATACGCCACGCTCATACATTTGTTTGTGTCAAAGCAAAATTAAGGTTCATGTCTTTACTGAACAGAACAGCAGTGCTGCGTCTGCAGACTTTGAAGTCCCTATGTAGTGTTTGCAGATATCACCAGATTTCAATAAAAAAACAACAAAAAAAACCAAACCTATAAATACATGATGATGAATAAAGGCAGTGTGATCTATATTTCAATATTATATCTGTCAGTCGACCAGTGACACACTATTTTTAGTTTCTGCCACAGCAGTGTGATATACACCTTTTTTGCTATACATACCTTTGCTCCGTGTGCTTGGTGGATAATCTTCATTGTGTCTGAAATTATACGAGAACCATTTGCCAGATGCCATAGAGTGAACGCACATAAAATTACAACCTTGTGGGAAGGACTCAATCAATCATTTAGCTGCCTTTAGCTGTTTCTCGCTGTAGATCAAAATTAATCGAATACACAATTTAAATAGGTAACTTATGATGGGTAAGTGGTTTACATTGACGCTACGAAATAAATATGATAAAAAAAAACAAGTGTACAGGTTTGTTTAACATGTCTAACATGGTCCCACAGGATCTCAGACCATCTGATGGATAATGGACTATTATTAGGAAAAAAAAACTGATTTATCACACTCCATAACGCTAATGCAAATCATGCCGGGCATACATACCATAAGCATATTTCTTGAAAGGAGGAGGAAGCCCTGGTCTTGTTGCAATATCTGGAAGAGAATGGAGGTTTTACAACTACTTTAGCTTCTAGTTAACTTCGATTACTAGAAAAAAACCCACCCAGCCACAGACTGTTCACCATGGTGCAAATTATACAATGAAAACCAGGGGGGGTCGAATTATACAATGACAACCAGGGGGGGGGTCGAATTATACAATGACAACCCCAGGTCATAAGTGCCCCATAAGTCACGGCCCAGATCCTCAAGTATTCTAGAGCAAAACTGCCAGAAAGTCAGACCATCACACACACACAGCAGACCATAATTTATGCTCAAACACAGACCAACGCAATACTGAACCAGAACCAAAGTTTTAAGTTACAACTTAGTCTTTTTTTTTTTAGCAAATATCTCCTTTCCTTTTGCTCATGTTGACCGTGAATGAAATATAATCTGTGTTCAATAAAGCCGTCATCATACATTGTTGGGGAAATGGGAATTGTTGTGTCTCTGTAAATAATATTAAACAGAGTACCTACTGTCTAGACCTGCTCTATAAGAAATGTGCAATGAGATGACTTTTGTTACGAATTGGTGCTATATAAATAAAAATTAAAACATTTGAAATAACAAACCTGGACTTTAACATTTACCTGGCCAGGTAAAATTCATGAATCCCACAGTGAAAACAAATACCATGCTTATTGCAAAAAAGTTATGCTAATTAAGAAACTGAAGGTAGGAAAGTTACATCAGAATCAGATCAGAAAGCTTTATTGTCATTGAAAGTAGCTCAAGAAGATTTGAGTGCAATTCCCCTCAATGTACAGTCATTAAAGATTAAGTGTATTAAACAAGCTGCATAACTCCTGACATTAACCTGCAGTGTCTCCATTCATGCACTGCCTGGAGCAGCAGCAGCGAGTGATGCAGACAGACAAGACGTTCAACTAACGTCAAGGTTGGAAAATGGTGGCCCATTTTAGGAGTGTCTGTAATTTTATTTCAAGATTCTTGACTATAAGGCATGATTATGGGAAATATATTGTAATATTTACAGATACAGATAAGACAGACCCCGCTGAACTCTCGTTTTTGCCTCTTTTGAAGGGTTTATTTGTATTATAATTTTAAATATTTGCACGTCATGTGAGCAGGCGTTCATTTAGTTGAGAAAGCTCTTTGTTGCAGAATAATAATGTGGCTTGAACCTTGAATATGATGTGACATGTGACAAACCTGCCGTCCTGTTTACTTACCGTCCCTGACGAGCTGAATGAAGTCATGTACCTTTTGGTCAACGTCGACCCCGTGAAACACCACTGGTTTAAAGTTTCTGTGCTCGAAGGACCTGACCAGGCGAACAGTGACCACGGCTGCACCGGCCATGTCCTGCTGCTGGACCCGCGGCTGGACCCGCTGCCCCTTTAACTCTGATAACGTGAGTTTAGTCGCTCTTCCTGTAAACGCTGGCGTGTTGAGTTGTTTAGCAGAAGCTTTTTCTTCTTCTGCAGCTTCTTCTACGCTTCTAGGCGTATTACTGCCCTCTTCAGGAAGTCACTATGACGATAATCTGATGATCTCTTCTGTAAAATGCTCCTTTCTATATTTTGTAGCATTTTCAGTAAAATATGCTCAAATGTTCCCACACTCACAAAGCCCATTAGGATGCTTTCTTATGATATATAAAGACTGATTCAATCCACAATGGCCAAGTCTCAACAACCTACAGATTTTAACAGAATCTCTTCCGGATCCATAACAATGCCTGGCTTTTTTTAACCTGAGATTGCAAAGAGAAATGTCTCCCCTTGGCCATTCCCGTTCAATATCCTGTTTTAATGTTTTATTTTGCTTCCACTCTTCCCAATGATATATTTATATCTGTAGTAATCTGCAGATTGATCAGCTGGGGACTGAAATTGGCTGTTTATTTTTGTTTAACGTTACTATTTTCAGCTCCTTCCAGTAAAAATGCTAATATTATTTTATAATCAATGTTTCAATGTGACCATTCAATTGAGACCAGATAAAAAAAATAGATTTTTCCAATAAATAGTTACAAAAATGTTTGTGTATCCTGTCAATTATAGATCTTAAGTAACTTAAGTAACTGGAATCAGCCAGAAAAGATGTAATCTGTGCATCTCTTAGTACAGCGATAATCCTGTGTGTGAACCGATATTAGGCTAAAACCGTAGATCTACCATTGTGTTGGGTGTCCCCTTCAAAAATTGATCTTGAGAAATTTTAGGTTTATTGTCCCCCCTTACTGTGAGATGAAATTTACGCCCATGCCCAGGGACCCAGCAGAACAAAACACTGCCACCAATCTCTGTAAGACACAGCTAGAATTTTATTTATGATATCAGCACAGACTTTTGCTTTACCTCCTCTCAAGGCCATCAGGGCTGCTGCAGAATCGGAGCAGATTAAGGCTTCACTTATTTTCACGTCCTCAATCCACCACAGAGCCCAAAGAATTGCCAGTAGCTCTTTTGTAAACCAGAGCTTCCGTTTGTAGTAAAAAATCTGTAAAAAATTTCAGATATGATCCCATACCACTGTTCAGATATTCCAATTTTAAGGCAAACAAATGTTTGTTCTTTTCTTGTAAAAAAATTAATCAATATATATATATATATTGATTTAACTTTTTTTACATACATACATATACATAGTATATACATATATATATGAAGTCAAGCACATGCATGCAGCACTGCACAGCACTGACTTAACATGATGCACGCTGGACTTAAAATAAGGCATGCTGGGGCGAGTTCAGCGCCAACAAAATGTAGCAAAACGTTGGTGCCTTGAACACCCAAGTACACTGCGTAGCTTCACACTCAACCTGAGCAGACACTCTGACCTTAAGGCAGGAATCTGCTTGGCCTCATGTGTGTAAATTTACATTTTTGCTGTAGCTGCACCCTCATATTCTGCTAGAACCCCCTTCCCAGCATATTTGAAAAATGCAACAGAGGAGTGAGAGAGCAACGACAACATGTGCAACAGACCTCGGAGTCTTACCATCATGGTTAGGTAGATGCCAGAGAATACAGCTGAACCAAACTGTCAAATCCAAGCAGACACATACAAGCTAATTTTGAGCCGAATGAGCAGGGTTTTTGCACGCAACATGAATTTAGATATTTTATCCATATTGCCAAGCACACAACAGTTGTTGCAAAATACCAGTTCTGAATCACGTCAAACTAGCATGAGTAGCCACTAAAACACTTATGTATGTTATTATATATGACAAAAAAGCGGGAAAAGAAAATATAGATTTTGATAGAATAGCTGTGATGAGGAAAAGTAAACAACTAAATTGAAATGTACCAAACCAAAGAAATGTCAATAAAGACTTGTTAATATGCCCTCCTTTGTGCCAAACAACAAAAACAAATACAGCTACAAACTAATCAAAACACATTTATTTGTTGAATACATCACAGTGAACCAGAGCAAGTTTACTAAAACATTTCAGTTTTCCCAGTTAAAACAATGCTTCCTGTTACCTTCACTTAGATGTCTTATTGGAAATCCTATCAGTAGATGATGGTATCTCTATCCTTTCTATTGGCCTCCATTTCTCCTCCTGTTTCCTCCCCGTTCTCTCTCTCCCTCTTTCTCTGCCTACATGAAGCTGACTGTGGAAATGTTGTCATCATTCATACTGATGGACTGCTGATCTCATTGCTATCCATTCTGCAGCAACACACAGAGGCCAAAAGCTTGTCTATGATCCCTTTCCTCATGAACACATACAGGACTAAGTCTGCAAGAGGATTCAACCTAACAAAGATGACATACAGATGTCTGAAGGTAATGTTATTTCTTGCTTCGTTTGACAGGTACCCAATGATGCTGGGCATGAAAAGCAACGTGTAATTAAGCAACACCAGGACCAAAATTCCCACAATTCGTCGTTTTTCATCAGAGGGTACCGAGATGGAAGCAGACAGTGTTTTGAGGGTCCCAACCAGGAAGAATATTAGCAGTGGGAAGGGAAGGAGGAGGAAAATGCCAGAGACAGTTTGTGGGACCTTAGGATTAACCTCGAATAAGAAAATGAAGAAAAAGAAAAGAGGAAGGGTCCAGACCACAATACACACCACCACAGAGAACTTGATGGTTCGTTTGAAGCGGTACCACATTGGGCAGGCGATGACCAAATACCTGTAATACAAAGAAAAACACAGTCTTTGAGGAGCTTCAGAGTTACTAAACTAATACAATGTTCAGACACAGAAGGAGCTCCACACATACTAGATAGACAGACAGATACCTTTCCAGGGCAACACAGACCATGAAGCCAACACTGGCCATCAGAGCAGAAAGATAAATATCAATGAAGATGTCAGCTATCTTCAGATCTTTAAGTGGTACCACCTGAACGATCATGCAGCAGAGCTGGATGAGGTCGGTAATGAGAAGGTTGATGACGTAGATCGGAGCAACATGATCACTTCTCACCTGCAGGAAAACATTGGTAAAAGTAAACAAGCAGTTGTGAACATGTTGTGAAGTCCACCTCCTCCAAAATATGTCTTATTACTCTGCCCAATCACTGCAGTAACAAGACTAAGAGCCAGATTTCCTGCAGCTTCTGCAGCAGTTTTTCAGCCACAGATATGAAGCCTTCTGGCTCAAACACATGAGCTGAATTTATCAAACAGACTGGAGTCGCAAGTTGTGTGTCATGTTTGTGTTTGCAAGAGCCTTTCTCCTCATGAAGTTATTATAATTAAGGTTCAGGAGCAAGACCATGCCTCACTCTCTCTCACTAATCCAACCACTCGTGCTTCACTCTTTTCATCCACCTGTGCCTCTTTAATCCAATCACCTGCTCATACGTATATAAGCCTGTCAAACCCCTTTCTCTCTCGTTTGTTTCAGTTCTCACGACTGTTTGTATAGACTCAGACACACACACCCAACTACTTAAAAGTTATTGTTATAAAGTTATACTTAATTTAATATGGATCACGAGCTCGTTCTCAGCGCCTCGGACAGCGATCTGTATTGACGATCAGTCCTTGGTCTCCGAATCTCCTCTGTCCATAGTTACATCCACTCCCACGCGGCCAGCCACTCATCATCCGCGACCATCCTCCGTTATCCAAGTTTCTCAGCACCGCAACATCCACTATTCTCCGTCCAGCAGCTCCAGCCTGACTCCACCAAGCACATACAGAGGACGCAGCTGCCATCGCCAACCTTCAGGAGAAGTCTGGTCCTCCAGGCACCTGACAGTTTCACAGTGCCTCCATCTCATACCATCCCCAAATCACCTACCCTCCTATCAAAAAACATTGCACCCCATGGTCAGCCCACGGTCTGATTCTTCAGGAATTTGACAAAAATGATTTGCAATAACTTTAATGATTTAGGTAGCAATGTTTCAAGTTGCCGTTTCCTCCACACCTGTTCTTTTTGTGCCAGTGCCCACGGCAGAATCATTGCCCCCATAACCCCACCCAGCACAATTTCTGACCACGCAGGTACCTCAAAACACCGATACCATCATCCACGCCGTAGAATCCGCCCTGAAGCCCATCCCACCGCCAGTCCGTCAACTTCCTCATCCACAATTTCAATTCCGGTTTCCATCCATGCATCATGGTTATACCTGATCCATCATAATCATAAGTCCACCCTCGCCAAGCCTATACAGTGGCCAAGGTCTGAGCCAAAGATATTGACAACGGATACACGATAGGTCGATTCACCAACCCCCCCCCTTCCTGATTAATTACACCAGCCATATCAGCACCACCACCAGGACTAACTTTCCCCCACGGCACCACGGCACCAAGCACCAATAGCCTCATCTTCAGTCCAGATCTTTTCATGCACTACACAACCAACTCACACGACATCAACCTCAACCATCTTGCCGGCCACCTGCCTGGTCGGCTTAATCCGACAACTACCGGCGCTTCAAAGGCGTTGCCCACACGCCATGATTTCTGGAGTTTCCTTTGTTCAGCTTTTCTTGGAATGTTTCATATTACTTAACCATCCGCTCCACATTCGGGTGTCGAGCAGCACTAAGATACTTGATCCACTTCCTTTGAAGCCTCCTTCCCAACCTGACTTCACCATATTCCATAAATCCATCATATTTCTCCGTAGATTCCAAACTACCTCCTCTACCGTTGTACCAAACACCAATTTCTCTCCCTAATTGGATACCTAAATCTTGCCATTCGCATCATCCCACAAGGCCGATCCTTCCCTTCCCACTTACCACGACCCAATCTGCCTCAGTTTCGCCTCTTCATGATCACATTGTACTCGGCAACACTTGTAAATGTTACTGAGATTGCGGCACAACTTCTTTTCTTCTCAAAATGGCCTCTCTAGACTTTACAACAACCACTCAACCCAACCCAAAAGACATCGAACAATACACAGATTCCACTGGAATCGGCAGTTACTACGGTGGCAGATTGTTCACCTCACAGTTGCCGGCGGTACCTTCCACCCTTTCCCCCTCCCTCCACAAGCCGTACCCCACAGTCATTGCTGCTATTCTTTGGGGGCTCACGTGGTACACAAAGCGATTCTTGGTTGCACCAAAACCCTCTCTTTGTGCCATCCAGGACGGTGAAGTCAAAAACTTTAACTCTTCTTTCTGCCTGCCATTCCCTTACATCGACATTGCATCACCAACCACTTTCACCACAATTACTCAGTTCTCAAATCAAACATCCACCATACGCATCTACTTTTGTGGTTAAACTCCTTCATCAGACTCATTACAGAGCTCCTGCCTCTAACATCTCTTACCCCCCACATTAACACATTACTCATTTTCGCTTAGCCCAGCAACACATTTTTTGGGGGTCATACAGCAAGACGCTTATAGAGACGTGCCCCGACCCCCCGGTTCCTAGCCACACCGGCCACCACAACCTGATCAAACCCCTTCATCCATACCTTCTCGACCCCTTCATCCTATCCTAGCCATTGGCTAATTTATTAATAATTATGCTTAAGATTATATAATAATTTTATGAGTGACATGAGTAATAGCATACCAGTTTTTGTGGAGTTGATGACCAAATTGAATATTTATTTATATACCATAGTATGAAATGTGACTACTGAGCTCTCCCTCACTCACAGGATGCGTCTGGAGGGCAATACAAGGTGCTGACTGCATAATGACCTGCTGTTTTAGTAAATGAGACACTGAATACACACAGATTACGACCACAGACTCAATGAAAACCGCAGCGCACATTTGCACAATACAATTTTCTTAGGAAATCAGGCATAGTCTACCACCATGCAAACAGTCATGTGAGGCTACTTAGACATAGTGGTTCTTTGAACTAAATGTTAATATGCTGATGTTTGGCAGGTAATGTGTACCATGTTACATGTTTAGGGTGTTAGCATGCTAAAATCTGCTAGTTAGGACAAACACAAAGTACAGCTGAGGCTGGTAGGAATGTCATTAGTTTTGACATATTTAGTCATAAACCAAAGTATTGGACAAATCAAACATTTTGACCTGATCATGGCACTAGATGAAAAGTCAGGGGATCACAAAAGGTATTATGATTCAACCACTGGGCTCCATGAATGTCTGTATGTATGTAATGTCTGTAATGTATAATTTTTGTTTATGGCAATCCATCCGATAGTTTTCGAGACATTTTATTGAAAAACAAAAACATCAATCTGATGGTGGCACTAAAGGAAACGTCAAGGGACATAAAAAGGTCAGTAGGCTTCATCCTCTGGGGAATATGAAAGTCTACAACATTTCACACGTTACTTGATTGTTTAATAAAAAACCCAAATAATGAGCCCAAATAATGCTGTGCAAATCGCTCTGATAAACGTGACGACTATTTTCTACTTGAGTTTCAACCAGTGCCATTAACCTCAGCAGTTGAAGAGAAGGCTGGAATGGAGCCATACATGTAAACTGCATGTGCTTAGGGTCTAATCAGCTTCATCCATCCATACATCCATCGTCAACTGCTTATCCTGCTCATCCCTTTGTCCCAGCCCAAAAGCCAGATCAAGATCCTTTACAGACAGACAGACAGACAGACAGACTGTAAGACAGACAAAGACAGGAAATACATAAATCTGTTATAAATTACATACCAGAGAATAATGACCATATATGGCCAAGAGGGTCAAAGGAAGGCCGATACAAATGATTATGTATGTCCCCACATTCATGATGGATGCAACTCCTCCATTAAATTCATAGGTTTCAAAGATGATGTTGTGATAGTAGTCAGAGGTGCTGTTGCTGCTATTCTTGTTGTCAGAGGTGGTGTTGCTGTAATTGTTGTTGTCCGAGGTGGTTTTGCTGTAATTCTGGTAGTTGGAGGTGATGTTACTGTAATCATTGCTTTTGTCCCGTGGGCTGCTATTACTGAAGAAATCTTCCATTCTTCAGAGTGAAACCTGTTGTTTGAGAGATCAGGAGGCAGGTTTAAAGTTTTAAGCTTTAAGTTGAAGTTCAACAAATATAGTGCACCTATAGTATACCAATAATAATGTCAAATAAAGAAATGTGTCATATTTTCAGTTTATATTGTAATTCCTCAACATTTGTTACATTATCTGCTAATAATATTTAATCAAAAAATAGAGTTTCCGATAGGATGTGCTGGTGATAAATATTTAGCCCCTCTGCCCTCTGACTGATTGATCCACTTGATGAACCATCTGCATATTGTATTGTATATATACCCGAACCTGCCAGGAGACTTTTAATCAACATCTCAGCTGTCAAGATTTCCTTGAAAACTACAAACATCACTATAAAAACCTCAGTGGATTAATGTTGGGTCAGAACAATAGACGTAGTAATAATAATAATATTACCATAATCACAATAATAATAGTAATAACGATGAGTTTCTTGTTCATAGATTTCACACTTACTTATGCCTGCTCATATAATTTTCTTTCATTATTTTTATCTCATTTTATTTTATTCCAAAAAAGATATATTTTTGCATGTTTGTTTGTTTGTTGCTATTTTCTAAAACTGCTTTTTTGTCTTTGCTTCACAATGACATGCTTGTATTTTTTATAATCAGAAAGGGAAGGTAAGAGAGTGAAACCAGAACAGTCTCTGTTCAAGTGCTCATGGATAAATTGTTCTGGATCCTGACATGACTGCCTGCCTTCACATAGCTGCAACATTATAGCAAAATAATGGCTCAGAAAGTAACATAAAATAGTATGTTTTTTCACTTAAAATATTCCAAAACCAATTAAAAAGTAGACTCTATAGTAAAAGTGATCCCCTGTCCTGTTGATCATGATTTGTCCTCTAGTGTTTTGTGATGTTGTTGAAACTGTCATGATGATGTTTTGCTAACTTTGTGTCAGGTTAAAAAAAGATGAACAATTTACAAATTATAAATCAGTAAGATGATGAAAATGACATACATCAATCATAATCAGTCTTTTTATGCATTTACTGTATATGAGAATAGAGCTATACTTAAATATGTAGTAGTATAAATGTGCAGCCCAAAGTCATTTCCCTGGTGCTTTTTTTCAGTTGTACAAAACTGATTGGTTAATCAGACAGAGTTACTGTTAAATGCTACTCTACACAACCCTGCTGATGTTTCTATTTTTTCATGTGTGACTTAAAATGTAAATTGGTAAAATGTGAATATTTCACTATAAATGTAATGTAAATGACCCCCCCCCCCTCCCCCAACAAAGCCACTTGAAAACTTGTGTCCCCCAAAAATTCAGTGTTTCTTCTTGTAAACTCTTTTGTCCCATAAATGTACCAGTTTATTCTCAGAGGATATCCCAGAGTATCCAGTGAGGTAGCATTTGTTGTGAGGAGCTACAGAGATAACGTGCCAACATGTGCATGTAGCACAGTATGTAATGTAAACACTTACAGTGACTACCAGGATGTGGGGGTGGAAACAACAACACATAAGATGATGTGAAACATTAGTCAAGCAATTATATTTGGTTAAAAGGCAACTAATAAACCCAGTAAAGCAATCAATCGTACAGTTGCCACGCTCCCCGTGTGTTATCCTGACAACACATTAGTTTCGACAGACCAGATTACAAACAGATTATCTGTTTGGAAACCTTTTAATGCTGTAAAGCATATTGTATAACTTTTATTGTGATCTGTCAGCACTGAAATCAAGTTTGACTGTGAAAAATAAATGTTTTGTGTTGCAGTATTTTA